TGTTGGCAAAACTCCTTTATCCTGCTCATCTTAAAAACACGGACCGAAGAAGTCAACGTGCATGAGAGTCGGTGGGAGACTCAGCCCATTAGGAGGAAGAAACCTGGGTGGCGGGGGTTGCTACGAGTCCACCGTCGGCCAGCCATGATCTTTTGTGAGAGGTTTGAGTGTGAGGCACACCCCTTGGGACCTGAAGGGTAGTGAATGGTACCTTGGGCTTAGTGGCCGGACTCGCCAGGAGAGACCCGCGACGATATAGGTGTGTAGCTTGTTTTAGTCATTCGGAACATCTCTTAAAATTGGAACGATACGTAAAGGAGACTAACAAAGCTTGTGAGCGGGGGTGACTGACACATAGTAGGCAACACCTATCTGAACCTAGTTTTAGAGAAGGATCGGGTCCATGCGCAACACTACTGGCGAAATGGCACTGGGGTGTTGTGGCCAAAGCCGCAACGATATTGGTGTGCTAGGCATTTGTCGGATTTTGGAAGAAGGTCGCAACATTACCGATCGGTCAGCATTCGTCAAATTAACAATCGATAGAACCACCTAGAAACGATTTTCTGTCGAGAGGTTCCCGTCCGAATGACAAGAGTTGCGGGCCGGTCGACTACATGCGCTAATAGGAGGAGGACGGTTGAACCCGGACGCCGAACCACGTTATGAGCGCGCGAGTAAAAAAAAGAAAAAACAATGATGAGAAAAACGACTATGGCGGAGGGGATTGTCATTTTCCGCTCGTATCTCGACAAAAACGGAAAGGAGGGGAAGTGTAGAGAGACCTTTTTAAACCACCACTACCCCCGCCGTCATAAACTAGGTCCATGAGCGCTACCGGTAGCACAGTGGGAGGACTTGGCAGAGTGGCAAAATTCAAAAATGTGTCAAATTACCCCTGCGATTTATTTCGCGGTTCAATGATTTTTTATTTATTTATAAATATTTTTCATGTAAAGATCATGAAAAAATCTACAGGCCCTCGAATTTTTAGAGTTGTTGGGTCATTCGTCTGATCGCAAAAAATCACAAAATTTGGGTTACTTTTCCTGTTGGCCTATATGTGAGTAACAAAAATGGAAAATATGACGAAACGGCGCTGCATTTACTTCACGGTCTAATTTTTGTTTTTTATTTTTTTATCATTTTTCCTGGAAAGATCACGACCTAATCTACAAGATATTCAATTTTTATATTTTTTTGCAAATTTTTATGAACGCAAAAAAATCATCAAAGTTCGCACTTGAAAATTTTTGGACCGGAACCGCCTGCGTCTGCCGGCCGCCACCCCCCTAAAGAACCGGTCTGTAAGGCCAGGAAAGACCATTTTAGGCTGGTGGGGGTAGTGGTGGTTTAAGGATGACAAACCTGAGTTTGGGGTTAATTTTTATAGAGGGTTAGCAGACAGGGAGTAGTAAGAGAGAAGACGTGCGGGGTACTGTAGCAATGGTGGGATAAGAATGGACATGATAGAGGGAAATAACAAAGTTATTGCCCGATCCTTTATGGAATCAAGTAAATTCCCAACAACACTCCCACAAGCGTCCGAATTAACGTTCAAAAACTTTTAGTCTCTCAGTCATAGGTTAGTCCAAATAACCTCTTGGCAAATGTCGATCTCATAAAGTTCCTCAATTCAAAAAAAAAGTCCGACATCGTCCGACATCGAAAAACATGACCAGATACCGTTGTAAGAGTTTCTACTCCGACAACGTTCATTATCTGTTGTGGGGGTTGTGTTGTCGGATTGCCAACACGTCAACGGTGAAGTTTTGAGACAGAGTGTGATCAACGCCTTCTCAAAACTTTGTCGTTGACGTGCTGACGACGTTAAACCACCACTACCCCCGCCGACAAAAATTCACCTTTCCTGGCCTTGAGGATGAATTTTCGGGGAGGTCGGCGATCGGCAGGCAGCAGCTGCCTTTTTCCCTTTTCCAGAAGGTGGGACTGGCATTCGGCGGGCGGGGTAGCGGACCAGCGGCCTAGCAGGTATATGGGTAAGGGGGCGGGGTCGGCCCCCCGCGGGGGAAAAGAGACAGAGTAAGGAAGTCAGCGGGTAGAGCGGGAAGCAAGTGGCGGGAAAAATAAAAAATAAAAAATAAAAAAAGGACTTACCTGAGAAGCCGTCAGCAGTGAAATTGCTGTGGGTACTGTCGGTGTTTCTCATCGTGCACCGTGCAGTTGTGTGGATTAGACTCCGGTATGTGAGGACAAATATGTGGCAGGTGCATCTGGTCATATTCTAGCGGGAAGTTCAGTCCCGTTTTGCACATTTCCAGTGGCGGGTGCATCTTGCGATACCATTCGGCGGCGAAGGGTGTTGCTTGGGCGCTTGGGGTAGCACCCGACTCCGCGACCTTCTCTCTCTCTCTCTCTCTCTCTCTCTCTCTCTCCTTCTCTCTCGTGATAAATTCTAGATGCCCCGGCATGTCAGGCAACGCCACACCACTCACCCTATGCACAAAAACGAGAGAAAGAACCTCTCCCAAGAATATGTCCAGATGCACCGGCTTTTTTTTTTTGCCTCTCCCACATGTGGAGAGTGCTGTGGCGTCCGGGCCAGATCCCAATGGCAAGGACGATTGGAATAAGTGTCAGAATCTGAACGTGTTCCACTTGAGAGATGCAGAAAAGCAAATCAATCACAACTTTCTACACCTCGCCAAAAAACACATCTAGATTCTGACACTCATTCGAATCCTCTTTGCCAGTGGAATCTGGTCCGGCTTCCTGGAGGAGCTCCGCTTTTCACAACGAATAAAAAAAACAAAAAAAATATTCGACACAACGAATAAGAAAAAAAAAAAAAAAAGTTCGACACTCCATTGCATTCCATACGACCCCCAGCGGCCCCGACTCTGCCTCGATGCAGACAACGTATACGACCCCCTGTGGCGGCCGCCAGGGGTAGGGGTGTGGTCTGCAAAACCAACGAGTCCCACTACCCGGGAGTTCGTCCTCTCAAGGTTCCCCAGTAGTTGGCTGTGCTACCGGTAGGCCACTGATTTTTCTTTATTCACCTGCTACCGATAGGCCGTATTTTCCAACGGCGGGGGTAGTGGTGGTTTAAACCACCAGTCCATCGGAGGCTAAATTGCCGAACCAAAAAGTGTATTTGTCCGAGCCTGACATCTATAGTGACCGCAGATTCAACCACGCGGGACATGGTACCGATACCAGCAACATGTGTGACAAAAAGGAAAGGCAGGCGGGCAACCCTCATCATTGCAGCCTGCCTGTCCTTGTTTTTTTTTTTTTTTTTTTTTTTAATTTTCTGTTTGTCTGTTTTTTTTGTGGGGTTGCATTTCTTTTTCTTTGCTTTTATAGGGCCTCGTTCTTGAGGTATCATCATTGGAAAAAAAAAAAAAAAAAAAAAAACGAGGTATCATCAGTGAGAGCAACAGGTATTTCCGAATTATGTCTATGGGACCTGGATTCGAACTTAGAGTTGTATTTCAAGAGTTCCTTTGTGTACCAATTGAGGGCATACTCCAATTCTTATTATATTAAGCTCTGGACGTGATCGCAGTCAGATTCATCCAGGTCTGACCGTAATTTCAGTCAGATACATTCCTACTGTGAGTCTGCCCTGATCTACGTCTGTTGGCTCTTTCCTTTGCTTTGTTTCGAATGCAGTTGTCCGCCCTGTTGAGTTGGATGCAATTTTTTTTTTTTTTTTTTTCTGTTGATATTTTTTTTCCTTCCTTTTTCTTTAGAAAGGGCCACGGCCTTGAGGTGTCATGATTGCACTTCCCTAACCAAAACGCCGAGAAAGTTAAGAAATAATCTTATGGCAGATGGACTCGAACTCCGGTCTGCATTTCCACATTTTTTGGGTGTACCAACTGAGGAACAGCAGTCCGCTCTGCTGAGCTGGGAGGGCAGTTTTCACGGAAATGACGAGGCGTCCAAAAGCTTGCAGAGTGTGCCTAGTGCGGTGTGGCTGTCACACAGTGGCACTCTCTTTCGATTGTGGGCCCGCCAACCTCACCCCCACCAAGCCTCCTCCATGCCTGATCACTGTAGATTTCGGTCTGGTACTTGTCGACAAAAAAAATGAACAGTACAGGGGGTGATGGACTGGTGGTTTAAGGCCTTCCGTAAGGGAAGGTGTTGCCGGGTTCTCGACACGACGAGATGCTGTTTGTTTGGCGGCACGGTGATTGCTTTTAGTGTCGAGCCCCGGTGGTCGGCTACGGCACGACATAAAGTAGCACTGTCGTTTATTTATTGGGGGATGGTACAGGTGCGACGACGACCATTTGAGTGGGTAGAGGTGGTCTGGCAGAGGTGTTGTCGAGTGTCCATTGGGCCAAGATTATCTTTGGGTCCGAGTTTTATTGTTTTCAAGGGTAGTTTTGGTCGGCGGCACGCATCGACGCTCATGTTTATTTTTTTGAAGAGCAGTTTGGGACCGGTGGTGAACCTAGAAGAGTCCTTACATCTTGGTGGTGCGATTGGGGCTGTATCGAGACTATTTGGGACGATTGGGACCACGTGGGACTCGGACTTACTTTGGGACCGCCCTCCTTCCCTACCGGTACCGATTAGAAATTTCCAGAATGCCCCGGTAGCAGCCCTCCCGGGGCCAGGAGAACGGCCTTGAGTGCCACCAAAGGCCACAGGGGCATGCTGGAAAGTTTCACACCTTACTGACAGGGGTCTGCAGGACACTTCAGAGGCTCCAGAGGCACGACAGGGTAAGTGGGCCGTCGGAGGGACATATCGCAAATGAACGGAAGTCATAGGGGCATTTCGAAAATTTGTCCAGGTCGGGCTTAAAGAAGAAAGGAAAAGGAGTTGAGGACGCAGGCTCGACAAAATTCGGAGCGCAGTGAAATTCAGGCTCGGCAAAAGCGCTAGCGTCAGTTAGCGTTACTGTGTTCCCCCGAATAGAACGTACGGTCATTGTAGCCGTATTTGGACCACCTTGCAGTCCAGATGCAGCGCAAACGACCGTGCGTTCTATTCGGGCGAAGACGGGTAGCCCTGTCGTAGCCCGACGACCGCTAACGACAGGGGGCAGAACTCTGCCGTTCAAACTGGGCCGGACCGATTCTGGCAAGAGGGTCAAGCCAGGCAGCCGGACGATGATCGCTTGTGCTCTCAACTTGTCTTCCCTCAGTCGGTCGATTGATCGATCGATCGATCGTCGAGGTTATCGGAGCGATGAGTGGTTCCGCACGGTTGTAATTGGTTGTGTTTGACTTGGTGCGGTGATTGATTTGTTGGTTGTGTTTGTATTTGGGGTTCAGGGAAGGAAAGGGGAAAGAGGAAAAGAAAGGCGGAATTGTCGTTGGAAAGGCGTGATCAGTGGGACAGACAGTTGGGATCGGTTGGGAAAGGCAGGCCTTTGTCGAGGGGAGGGGGGGGCGGGGGGGGGAGTGAGGAGGAAGAGGAGAGGCGTGACGTTCCAGCAGGGGGTAGCGCTCAGTAGGACCTTGAGAGGGTTTGGCGGGGGGTTGGGAACTTGCCCGTGGGGGAGGTGGGGAGTGTCAGCTGCGACGTCCGCGCTGCCTCCTGGCGCCCACGTGGCGATGTGAGCGGTGACGTGCGCTTGCCACGTCGGCGCTGCGCTCCACAGCGTAATTAGGGTTTGAGAGGGAGGGAGGGAGGAAGAGGCGGCAAGTTGTGCGCAGATTGGGGTAAGGGAGGAGGGCTAAGGAGGAGGAGGAGGAGGAGGAGGACGAGGAGAGAGGGATGGGGCAGGGTCAATCGGGGTTGTCAGGGCAGGGGCCACCTGGGGACAGGAAGGATGAGAAGAGGGACAAGCGGAAGCACGAGCCACCTGCGCCCCCAACACGTGTGGGTCGGAAGCAGAGGAAGCAGAAGGGTCCAGAGGCGGCGGCTCGTCTCCCAACTGTCACTCCGGCGTCGAAATGCAAGCTGAGGTTATTGAAACTAGAGAGAGTGAAGGATTATTTGTTGATGGAGGAGGAATTCGTGACCAATCAAGAGCGCCTGAAGCCGCAGGAGGACAAGAACGAAGAAGATCGGTCGAAAGTCGATGACCTGCGCGGTTCACCCATGAGCGTCGGCAACCTTGAGGAGATCATCGATGAGAATCACGCCATTGTCTCCTCTTCCGTAGGGCCGGAGTACTATGTCAATATTCTGTCCTTTGTGGATAAGGATCAGCTGGAACCCGGTTGTAGTATCCTGATGCATAACAAGGTGGGTCGGTGAGGTGATCCTTCCTCCCTTTTCCCCAAATTCTTTGTTTCTTTCCCCCCCCCCCCCCCTCTCCTACCCCCCTTTTTCAATCCTCTTTTTTTTATTTTTTTTTAATCCTCTTACAATCCTGGACTTTGGAAACAAGATTTTGACGTTGATGTTTTTTTGTGATGTGTACGGGTTTATTTATTCGTTTATTCGTTAAATTAATTTAATTAAAGGGATTCTCAATGGTCACTATCTACCTACCATCCTGCGAAACCTCAGCCTCGGAAGAATTGGCGGGAACGGGCTTGGAAGAATTTTTGGCGGGAACAGGCTTGGAAGAAATTTTGGCGGGAACAGGCGCGGAAGAATCGGCGGGAAAGAAGACGCTGTTGATTTAATATTTGTATATATCGGTGGAACTCCACGGAACAGGCTGCCACAGCCCCGCGTTTTTGTCCTTGTCTCCCTCTCTGCCTACAGTTTACTGGGCAGCTCTGTTTGATCGTATATATATACTATGTGATGATCTCTCTGCCTACGGTTTACCGGGCAGTTCTGTTTGTGACGATATATGTGTATATATTTAGCCAGCCCTCAACCTGTCATCCACGTGGCTGGCCTTGTACGTAAGAGGTGATGAACAGGTGGGGCTTTCCTTCCTTCTTTTCCTTTCCTTGTTTTGCGTTTTTTTTTTTTTTTTTTTTTTCCCGCCTTGTGTATGATATGTATGTGGAAGACTGTTTCTTCAGAGTTTCGCAGACTCATCAGGAGTCTGAACCCTCTTCTACACTCTCCAGGGTCCCCTAACCCATGATACCATAAGTGATAATCCAACCAGTTGTGATTAAGCATCAAAGATTGCCTAACAACTGATACCCATCCGCCACGTGGCTGCAAGAACTGAATTCTAAATTTGATTAGGGAGCTCTAAAGTCTAGGCCAGACACATCTACAGTCTTCCCCCGAATACAACGTACGGTCATTATAGCTGAATTTAGACTGAAAGATACCCCAAATTCACAGCTATAATGACCGTACGTTGTATTCGGGGGAAGACTGTAGTTCCGGCAGCCAGGCCCGCTATATGTTTACCGATTCACAAATACGTATTTGGTCGTTTGATTTATTTGCTCATTTATCTGTTTTTACTTATTCGTTCGTTTATTCGTTGATTTATCCGTTTATTTCATTCATTTATTTAGTA